TGTAAAATTTCAGTTTCAATTTTGTTGACATCAATTATACTAGATTTTTGCTTTTCAAAATAAAAAAAAATATACTAGACTTTTTATAAAAAAAATTAGCAAAAATTTGAAATATAGATGGTGGTTTTTATTTTTGAGAGATAGCTATAATTGATCATAATCGTCACTGTGAATGCTAAAAGACAACAATTAATTATGATCGATGCTAAAATGTTGATCCCCATTGAAACTTAACTCAAAGCCTAGAATTCTGTGGATATATATTTCCTTATGATGATTTATTATTGCATCTACAACTTCCTATCTAAACATTTTGAAAATGGCCTGCCACCATTGTTCTTAAGTTCATTGGTTGACTTTTTATAGCTCTTTTGACGGGGTAATTACATTGAGTGTAAGGAAATCTTGCTAACTAATTTACTGTAAATCGAATTGGATAATAGTGATGAATGACAAGCACGCTTTTAGTTTGACCGTATTTGTGCATCTCAAAGCTGATAAGGATTGGACGGTAAGGTAGTTTAAGAATGCTATCCACAATCGAAGAAAATTTTACACTGTTTTCATTGTCCATTTTGAATCAGCCTCCGTCCAAAAGTGCTCAGCTACGTTAGCTTTCATCAGCATTCGGCCTAATGACTACCCAAAACTTTCCATGTAAGCATAATTAAAGTCACATTAATGTTCTTGACGTTTTGCAAAGGATTGATTAATAAAGACCATAATTAAGTCGCACACTTAAGTATCATGATATTTCCCAGTAAGAGTGACAAAAATAAATTATTACTATCACTATAAGGAAATTAATCTACCCAAGTTAATTTATATTAACATGTCTCCAAGGCTAAAAGCCCACAACCTGTTGCAAGAAAAGTTTAAAAAAAAAAAACACATACAGGCACAAGTATAAAAATAGAAATTCTTTAGGTTAAAATGAGATGGGAGATGAATTCTCCTCTTCATGTATGAGGAGTACCTATCTGTCTTAACATCACACCTGTCGAATCATTAGTAACAATTATTAAAAGTAATTTGTTGTAAGTGTCATGCATGCATTCCAGAAGTTGGTGATGGATCGAGTTGGAACCGCATAAGATATGAGATACGGTGTAACAAGATTAATAGAAATTTCAACCAAATTTATATTATTATTTAATATTCGGGGCATCCAGAGGTTTCTAGGATTTGCAGATTGTTTTTTTTTATATTACCTGCAGATGGTTTTCGGTGGTTGGAGGCTGATCTCGTCTAGTTATGTTGATATATTTATCATGAATTGAATGAAATCCAACTTTTTTTAAAAAAAAATACTAAATTATTATTCAAATTGAATTTCAATATTTTTGCATTTGCCAACAACTAAAACCTATATTTCGAAGCGTCAAGCCTATTTGAATTTCAGTAAACACAAGTGCATGATGGCGTGTCAGCTCTTCTTTTCAACATGAGTTTTTCTTTAAACGGGTGTCAACTTTCCTGGATGGACCCTGTTTCGAATAAACCACTATATGTTGAGCACGTAGCAGGCAGCACCAGGTGTCTTCTCTTCTTCCAACTACAAAGTCAACCATCCCCCCTTCCCTCTCATTTTTATTTTGGGGTACAGCCTTTCCTCTCAAAATATGTGGTCTTGCTTAATTTTGACAATTGCCACTCTAAAAGGAGAAAAGGCAGAAGCTGCTTTTCCGCAGAAGCTGGAGTTTAAGGCCAGCACTGCAACTTGGAAACTCAATTCAAAGTCATTGACAATCAGGAGCACAATTTCATCCACCTCCATCTAACATGACAGGAATTGGTAAAATCCTTTTATACTATATATCAATCTGCATAGTTTTGTTCCCTATGTCAAAACCCCCGTTGCTTGCTTACTAGCCTTTGCAGTTAGATCTTTCTTTTATTATCCCTCCAAGATGGTTCTGTAATTACGTACGACTTTTCATTCGAATTATAAACTTGAGATGGTAGTGATGATTGACAATGAAGAATAAATAACATAACCAGAGTATTACAAATGCTACCCAAGGATTTTTTAGTATTTGTTTCAACTAAAGAAAAATCTCTTGTTCCCCTGTTCCTCGTCTAGAAACCTCTCATTTTTCTATATAAATAAAGACTAGAGATAGGCTTACGAAACTTGTATCATGATGACACATGCGTGCTTAATGTGGATATATATAATTTTAAACCAAAAAAAACCAAAGGGGTGAGATTTCGGCTCATAGATTTTGATCCTCGTTTTCCATATATGTGGCTGCAATGTCACCCCTGGACCGTGGTCGGGGAAACTTGATGCTTTACGTCGTCACCTTGATTTCTTTTCTCAAGCATTGATTAATATAATTTTAGTCGATGCTTACATACTTGATACTAGCAAAGGTAATTACTTGTGACAAATGTAAGGTTTGCTTGTGCATGGCATTGCCATATATAGATATCCACATCTTCAAAGTTGACCAAAAAATTATATTTTAAAAATGTTAAGTGCATGTGGTAGTCATACAAATTTTGTTTGTTAATTTCTTGTTGGAAGGGTGTCCAAGATTTCCAACAAACTTTGAATATTAATGTAGCTTTTGTTTATTCTTCGGAGGCAGCATTTTTAAGAGTTCACATCTATACTTTATAAGGTTCGGTAAGAATACGTTAACCAAAGTTCTTGTAAATGGTATACATGAGAGTACGAACTTGATGAGCATATTATTTATGGTACTTACGCAGGCAAGAACTCCAAATTCTGTTACCCATATACCTCCCTAGGCTCGATCATGTCCGTAGTTTGGATTTGAGGACGCGTGGTTGAGGTTCATGGTGCAGGTGTAGAGAGAGAGTGAGAGAATTACACGTAGAGGATAATCAGAGTCGTTGAAGATCGATGCTGGCGTCAATGTAATATTTAGGGACACTTTGTTACGGCCACCGTGATGCACGTTTGATATTACGACCATCAGAATTATTAGATTATAAATTAGGTGTGCAATTGTGTATGGTTTAAATTCTGGTCAACTCTTGCATTTTCCTCTGCGGCTGAATATTCTGGACGTTAAGAAACAGGAAACGGGGTCGTAGGTTCAGTGAACGGCTGAATATTCTCTTAATATACTTTACATTGCAAATTCAATGAGTTTGGTTTTTTTCTCTTTCTTTTTCTATGTAATGCTTCATTGTTGAAAATTAAATAAGAACAACGATATATCATTAGCATGTTGCTAATTAGGAACATCTTTGGAAAATAAAATTTGCATGTGACAGGCCGTATATAATGTGCAACGTTAACATTACTCAATCTTTGTCAACAAAATGATTTTAATTGGACAATTAAATCAGGCCCTGCCTATGTTTGTAATGGCATATTCTATCATTTACATGTACGAAATATTAAGAATATGATTAAAAATGTAAATAGGTAGGGTACTTGTTATTTTTGACATGCTCAATCTAAAACCGTTTAGCAATTAAAATATTCAAATATTATTAAAACTGGCATATAATTACAAAATACTATTCACAATTGAATCTTAATAGTAAACAACTATCCGTTAATTATGCAAATTTGTTAAATACCCGTTTAAATTGAAAAATTTGACAAAGACTTGGAGTGTTTCTCATCCTTTTATGAGTTCAATCTCTACTAAATTTGCACCATAGTTCAATTAATATAATTTAATATTATATTTATTAGTTTATGAAAAAGTAGGTTAGTTGAGATGATAAAGATTGTGTGGAGGTAAGTAGGACAAAAATTTAAATCCTACAAAATTTAAAATTTTTGTAACATTGTATATAATAGGGTTCAAGTTTAAGATATCCTAATAGTGATACTCAAAATCTAGTCAAATCTATGTTAGGATTCAAAAACATTACCCTAATCCATTCCATAATCAAATGTAGAATATCCTAACCTTATATTATCATATTGAATATCTGCGGATAACCATATTACAATAACCCATTTACAATCCTAAATATGATTTTCCATCCTTTACTTTTGATCAAACGAAAACATTTATTATTGTTTTGAAAAGCAGTGGTAGTTAATGTAACTCAAACCAACTTGTATATACAAAGATGCATGTGTTGGTGACCTTTTTAAAGCCCAATTAGAGTAGAGTCTGGACCCATTAGATATGGGAGGACTGGAGACATTTGACAGTTTGTGTCTATGTTCATTGTCGATGAGCATGGCTTGTTTATAGGTCAAACACACTCGTACAAGGTGTACATATCAGAAAGAATACATATAATATGCGTAAAGCATTAAGCACATTTAATAATGCTTCATCTTTTATGAACAATCTACTTTCCCTTCTTGAGGAATATTTCTTGTGATATTTAGAGAAATTCACTTTCACTTATTACAAACTTGTGACTTTACTAGACAGCTATGGACAAGTCCTTCCAAAGCAGCTAATTTGTTCCGACTGCAAATGAATGTGAGGAAAGGCATTTATAAAGAAATTCATGATCGTCAATCCTGGTAATTTTCATAAGCCAAAAGCATGCTCTTCTAATTTGCTTACAAAATCAGCAAGAAATTTTCCATATAGCAGTTGTTGGTCCAAACCTCCAACAGCTAAGGTGTCCTAATTTCCATTTAATTTGGTCAAGACATTTTTTGAATTGAATCGCCGATTATTCCTTCATTTTTCTTTGTTTTGAATGTTGACCATGGGGAATTTATTGGACAAGGGATTGAGTCTTTGGTACCTTATTACATGTGCCAGTACGTCAATCGCTTTTAGTAAATTTCGCTGTTGGCAAATGTATGTCCCAAGACAAATAAAATAAATTATTCAGCATAATTTTGGTCCTGCAAACATGGGAGAATGAGATAATAAATTTGCCGGTGAACATTATTGACGGTTTATTTATATTGGAAGAGTAATAAGTAATAGACAAGTCTAATATTAGTTGCTGAACAAAGAGAAGAAATTTGGGAACTTTCTCTTCTGTTTCATTAAGAATTATAGAGTGTTTTCAAAGAGGTATTTATACCTCCATGATAAAATTGTTCTAGAAGAGTAGAAAGGAAAAGACCAAAACTATACACAAAAAGGCTAACTATTTACAATAATATCAAAGTAAATTATTTCCATATTTTCATTCTAATGTCTAATACAATTTCAAGTACGCATGAAATTGGAATGAGCCTGGAAACTAATTAAATTGTCTTCAAGCCTTGTTCAAAGAAGCCGTGGAATGCCTCCATTTCATCCCTGTTAAGTGCCAAACCGATCTCAATACCTCCTTCCTCGTCTCTACTGTCACCAAGATATATAGCTCCCGAAACATCAATCTGAACCACTTCGGTCTTCTTTGGTTTTCCCCACCCAAAATCTGTCTCGTAAGCACGCAACTTGGGGGAGCCAGAGACCGTGACAAGATGACCCGTTTCAGATATTTCCTTCCAATTAGTTAACCACTTCTCTGCTTCTCTCAATGCCCCTTTTTCAAATTCCCATACTCTGTTTCCAATGGCTTTTGTAGCCGCTACCACCCCATTCTCTCCCAGCAGTTCACTCCTCTTCATTCGTACAAAGCATATTGATAGACAGTTGCCCAAGTATGTATCTGGTATTGCAAATTCAGGGCGGTTTCGACAGTCTGCCACAAAGCAGAAGTAATGACATTCGTCATCTTCATGTTTTTTGTTGCCGCAAAGCTCTTGGGCTTTTATCAAACAAGTCCACACGATAGCACATGATACCACGAATGTTGATGCGCGCAGCTGCTCCGATTCACTTTGCTTCGGGCACCGAATCAAGACACGACGTTTTACCCTGTCGATGTCACCCCGGCCCATTACAATTGTGGCTCGAACCTTGTTTGCAAGAATGCCGTGGGCCGGTACCTTGTCCTCCACCCAATCCGAAGCCCAACTCCACCATTCAGTCATGAGAATGGACTCAAGCCCACGAGAGTCCTTTTCCCTGATCACATTCCTGTCCAAAAACGGCACTGACTTCCCAAGACAGGCTGCCGAGTTGCCACCGGACCTCAAAATGGACGCCCAAGCTTTCATGAAATGATTGAATGACCTTCCATCTGCTGCCACATGGCAAAACGTCGCTCCAATGCATATTCCCGAGTTCGGAAACACTGTGACTTGCACGGCCAGAAGAGGCACAACACGTGTGTTGTTCAGCAGACGTGCGGGCTGCAGCTGTGGGACAAAAGGGTGTAGCTCCTTCACATCTCGAGTAAGGTAGGCTACGGTTCGATCGAAATCAGCGGAAGACTCAGCAACGGTGAAAGAGACGCAATCACCATCTGTGTACAGGATATAGGGCTTGTGGGGTGAGGGAGGGCATATGAGTTTGGCAGCGAAAGGGTAAAAGGTTTGGAGAGCGTGAGAAAGAGATGCTCTGAGCGAGGGGAGGATGGTCTGCGTGAAATGGAGAGTAGAGTAAGGGAATTCGTAGAAGAAGAGGCGTTGCATGGGACGGCAAACAAGCCATGGGACGTCAAAGAAAGTGAGGGGAAGCGAGGTATTGGGCACAGAGCCCGGCGGTGGAGAAGCATTGCTATGGTCAAGGAATTTGATTGTGCAGGGTCCGGCCATTTTTCTTTTTTGGAATAAGAAAGAGAAAAGTATGGCTCCAAATTGTCAACTTGTGGAAGCCAACATTTTACGAAAGGCGCCTTTTGATCTTATCTTCTCAATTTTTTCTTTTACTGAACATTGACACCCTACTGGTGACGCAAATTCTCAGAATATCCTTGTATATTATAACTGACAGCAGCAAAGTATATTCTGTAAACAAATTTTTGCACTAGAAGAAGAGACAATTAATGCTATTTTAAATTACTCTTACGCCAAAAATCATCAAATCACAAGGCCAAAGTCAGACCAAAATCAGTATAACTCAAAAAACATTGTTGCAAAATATATATATATATATATATGAACTCATCCATGACACAACTGAAAATATAATAAATTACTAGTGTTTCACAGCATGCCCAATCCAAGTTGCCAGAGGCGGAGGGGAAGGGGCTAGTGGGCCCCCTCCCAACAATTTTAAACTTTTTATAACTTATCTTTATATTTTTGAAATTTTATAATTTGGGTTCTACAAAATTTTTAAAATTTTTTTAACAAATATTTTTTTAAAAAATTTTAAAATTTTACTTTTACAATAATTTTTTATTTGATGAGATATTTACAATAATTAATCAATAATTAATTTTAATAAAATAAAAATAAAACCTATTATAATAGAATTATTCTCAAACTTCACTTTTTCAAAACTTCATAATCACTACCTCTTGTTCTCTTTTCTTTAAATCAAATATTGTAAAAACAAAAAAAATTATTTTTTATACCTTTTTACTTGCCAACATTCTCTATGCAAAAAACTTCTAATTAATAACTTAATTTTCATGTTATAATAATTGATAAATTTAGTTTATTTACTTATTTTATTTTTAATATTTTTAATTTTAATTTTTATCTTTATTTAATAATTTCTGCTTGTAAATTTGATTTAGGATTTACTATTTTAACCAGTTTTTGTTGCAAGCAACAAATCAAGAATTTGATTAAACATCTATGATTAGTTATTATTTATTTATTTAGGAATTACTTGATTGCTTTCCTACAAATTCTTTGTGTGTTTTTTTTAACTTAGACTCTCGTTACTAATTAAGTTTTTAATTTGAGATTACTTTTTCATTGAGTTGTTTATTGACATTGTATTTAATTTTCGTGATTAATTTTAGGGAATTGTTGCCTCATTGAATTGTTTATTGATAGTCCTTAATATTTTTAAGGAGATTATTTCTTATTGAGATTTTAGTTATTATATTTGTTAATTTTTGTTTGTTGATAAGTTTATCCAAAAATTGAGATTATTATCATTATTAAATTATTTATGATTATATTAGTTAATTTTTTAAATAAATTATTAAGTTAATTTTTGTTTCTTTGAATAATTTTCAAAATTTATTTATATAATTTTCATATGAAATCTTTTCATCTAAGTATTTTATTTTTATCAGACATTGAATTACTTCTTGACATTATCTTCAGCTCTTCCCCCCCTAAACGAGAAATCTTGACCCGCCATTGCAAGTTAGTAATGAACAAAAAGAACCTAACATTCTAATAGGCTCATGGGCAACTTATGGTAGTTCAACCTACCTAAATCATCCACATAATTCTTCCACATTTAACAATGGAAGAAAAGCTTAAAAGAAGTGTCTACAAAAACTATCCAACATAACTAAAATACGAGAAGGGAAGCAAGCCAAAGCCTGATCTTTCAATCTAGACAGCATACCACAACCATGTCCAGTCAGCTTCTAAAAAAGAAATTCCGGGGAAGTTACTCTTCCCAGTAGTCAATGAGGCATGCCAAGCACATGATGAAGGATTCGCTGTCTAATTGTAAGTTAAGATCATTTCTCCTGGGGCATCTGTTCTTGGAATGAGATTCTCATCTTATAGATAAGTGCTTTTAAAGGCAGTTTTTTTTTTTTCATTCTCTCTGATTGAGAAAAGGAATTTCAGGGACATTCTTATTTTTTTTATTATAGCAAATTTGATAATTGCCTTATGTCATTGCAAAATTTATCCTAAATAGCACTGACAAATTTTTCATCAATTACATGGTCATTTTGATGGGTTTCTATAACTGTTAATTCTGCATTAATACCCAAAAATCCATGTTTATTTGTGGGTTGAGTTCTTACTTATGGATGGTTGCTTACATCTAAGTTGCATGCTTTAGTTTGCTGGTTAAATTCTTGTGTACACATTGCCATAATAAACATATAGAAGGGAATAACATTATTTTGGGAGTTTTTGTGGATTATACTGCATTTTTTTATTTACAATATTGTTAAGATAATACAAAAAAAAAAAACAGATTCTTTCCGATGCAAAAAATTTTGTTAGAAATTTTTTGACAAATTCTACACGGAATTCTAACAGAAATTTTTTTGACTTTTTCTATCGGATTTTCAATAGATTTCTAACAAAAAATTATCTGTTGAAAATTCGTCAGAAAGTTTAAGACCTCAAAAAATTTAAAGCCGGTTAAAATTTCTAAGGAATTTTCCGTTGGAAAAACTATTACCAATGAAAATTTTTCAATAGAAAATTCTGTCGATAATATTATTTAAAAAATCATTTTACATAAATATTTAAAAAAATTTGTAAATTTTATTAATCCTTATAAAAAATAGATATTAATAAAAGCAAATATATACATATTGACGTTTATAATATTTAAACTTAAATATGTTTCATTTGCTTATTTTTTTACATTTTGAAAATTTATTGAATCATAAATTCAAAATAAATAGTTTCAAATTCATTAATTTTATAAAATTAAAAATTGATAAAACGAAGTAATAAATTTTTTTATATTTATAAAAATAGATGATAAGATCTAATAATAAATTAAACAAAAATAATAATATTTTTGCACGTACTAATATTAGTATATATATAAATTAAGAAGACAATGTATAATAAACTTATTAATATAATATATTTAAAATATATTAATTTATTATATGTATATATACAAATTAGAATCATAGCTATAGAATATATATATATATATATATATAAACCTGTATTATTCATAAAAAAATATAAGCTATTGTATTAATATGAAACTACAAGTTATCTACTTTAATTGATATAACTTTATAAGTTAATATTATATTATATATATATGTATGTATGTATGTATGTATATGAGATATTAAAATATTCTATATATATTAATATGTTTTATTGTAAACTTATAGTAAATTTTATTATATGAGTACAGTTATTAACTTGATTAGTTATTATCATAGTTTTTATAAAATTATATTTATAATTAATTATACAACTTTTTAATATATATAATTAAAACATATAATTTGTGTAATTAATATATATATATATATAATAAATTAAGTATATAACTTATGTTTTAACATTATGAAATTCATATAAAGATAATTTTAATATTACTTTGATTAGTTATACTTTATAATTAGTTTCATATTATAATTTAATAATGAAATCATGAGTACTATTATAAATAAATATAAATATATATGTGTGTGTGTGTGTGTGTATATATATATAACTACATATATAAGGTATACAAAAATAATAATACTTGATGTATATTAATATTAGTTAATATAAATTTAGAAGAATTGATTGTAAGCTTAATTAATATATATATTTAAATATATTAGTTTATTATATGTACTATACAAATCATAGACTAGTAATTGAATATTAACTATATTTTTGTTTATTTAAATCTGTATTAATATGAATTACAAGTTACATATTTTAAATGATATAACTTATATGTTAATATTAATAAATAATAGTAAATATCTTAGATATTAATATCTTTTAATTATTATACGTTAGTAATGCTTCGTATTATAAAATGCTATGAATATATATATTTGTATAAATATTATATATATACATATATTTAATTTATACATAATATTACTATAAACTTATATAAGTTTTATTATTATATGATTACATTATTAACTTTATTAGTTATCACCTGAATTTTTATAATATATTAATTATAATTAATTTTTATTTATTCCAAAATTTGATATCAAACATTATAATATATAAGTTATGTCATTAATTTCGTATATATATAAGTAATACATATAAATATATACTATTAAAATTAACGTATTGCTTATACTTATTGTAAATAAGTAATTAATATTTTATAAAATAATAAATTTAGTTAATAATTAGTAAACAACATTTTATAATTAAATAAAAAAATAATATTGATTTTATTTTAACATAAATATATTAAAATTTTATTATTATTAACAATTATTTATTTATTAATAATATTTAAAATATTTAAATTTTTGTTACTATAAACACTCAAATTTGTGTCTAGATGAAAAATAAACTAACCTTCAACCTAGTCTACCACCCATTCAAATTAATTTTAAAATTTACCAACTTTAGTCTAAAAGGAAACCAAACCATATGACTCAACTATTCATCCCTAACCATGTGCATGCTCACTTACCCCACATGTTTCTACTTTGCTTCCCCTTCCTGTGCTGAGACTAGAGGCTGAAACTCATTTGCTGGCTCACTCATTACATTTTTAAAATTTTCTTACTTTGCTGCCTTTGCTGTGAATCTCTCTTTGCTGTGTTGTTTTTGAAGGTTCCTAGTTTTGCCGCCCAATACCTGCACTTCCTCTATGTACAGATCTACAATGTAAGGTATTTATTATTCTACTTCTTTTCTATCTATTTTTGTTCCGATCACTCATCACTCATAAATTTTTGTTTGAAGATAGCTATAAACTAAAATCACTCTAGAGTCACTTGTACCTGCACTTTAAGGAAGTTCATTTTTGCAATCTATTTGGGTAACTATTTGTAGTACAATTCTAGATTAGTCCAGAAATCACTTTGTTCTTATATAGTCTTTGTCTCTAAGTATTATTTAGGTAAGGGTGTGCGGCGATCGGTTTTATCGATTTTGGTAAAAATCGATCAAAAATTTCTACAATATAACCGACCGAACCGCATAAGACGTAATATCGATTTCGGTCGATTTTTTAGAGGTTCGGTTCTGTCGGTTCAGTCAGT